TTATCGACTTTCTGCATTTTTCGCTCTATGGTGCTATTAATAACATGGTGATTACGTACGGTGCATTTGGAAAAATCTCTATCTTAAATATCTAAAACAAAATATATAGAATATCTATATTTATGATATGATATGGTTTGTTGGCTTACTGGTGTCTCGAATTTATGCCCAAAACTGCTGGAAATTTATTATAAAAGTTAGTTAACACCATGGATATTTTTGCCATTTTTTGGAGCTTAGATTCACTAAAACTTAAGTTTGCTACGAAGAGATTGAAAAGCTCAAATTTACCTTGAAAATGGTTAGCCTTAGTTCTAGACAAACTAAGCGATTTGGGTCCAGTATTATTATGAAGTAAGTACTGTTATTAATGTAATAATGGCAATATCGTTGATGTTAGTAATTATAAATGCTGAAAAGGTGAAATGAGTACAAAGTTGACTCCTCCTAGGAATAATTTTCTGAAGAACTTGGAAGTAAAAAATTGCGGCTCCTCAACGAAGAGACGCGGCTCATTAGAATCCGCTTAGAATCTGAATTTGTTGTTTGTACTCAAAAATGCTTGAAATAATGATGATGAGTGCTAAGCAGCCATAATAGTCTAAATCTTGTAAGTACAACTATTTAATTCATCTTTGTTTTCTATTTTGAATTCAAGTTTTTTTTTGTTCTATGAATCCACCATAACGTTTCCGAGCTAAGAATAATCTACAAACATAAGAAAGTCCTTTTCAATAAAATTTTATTTACATAAAAATTAATCTATAATCTTGCTAGATTGATTGCAGCTAATCTTTTTAACCTTAGACACCTCAATTTGCCTTTCTCTTATCAAACTCCTTTAATAGCTATTTTCGGGATAAGCCATAGATTAACCAGACAGATTAGCGGATGAGAATAACACATTATCGATTTGTTATGAAGAGTTCCTTATAACTGCAGGTTTCACCAATAAACTAGCACAATACGGTTTTTGACGAGATCAGCCAGTTCATTGCTGCTAAGTTCGCTTAGACCTTTTCACAGTCAGGAAAAGTTTTTTTCAAACTTAAAATCTCATATTATTGTTCGGTTGTTCACTTTAGACGCTTTCCATTCTTATTCAAAGTGATATAACTAAAATTTTAGGATGTGGGCGGGTCTCGCCGCCATTCCCGTTCTCTTTATCGTTCGGGTGGTAGCCGTAGATGATTTCATAGCTAGGAGGGTATTCTTGAAAACGCCAGCATCCTATGTTAATTTGTCTTCGGAAGCATGGAAGGTGCATGGTTGGTGCATTTCTTTTTCTTTCTTTTTTTTGAAAGATAAGGGCAAAAATCTCGTTTCATTGATTAATAAAAGTCAGTTTAAGAAAAAAAATTGGAAGCATTTTATCAGCTATTTTTGGCTTTTGGAATGCAATTTTTTTCAAGAGAGCGAGATAGTTTTTGGATGTTCATTATCGGAATATTCCAGAAGGTGACACGGAAGTAACGCTTGCTGTTCGATTCCAGCCAAACACCAAGGTTGGGCAAGTGTTCAGTCTGCGAGTGTTGGCACCTCATGGAGTTAAAGTGGCAAAGGTACAAGTTAGGGTAGATTATCTTATTGTCTAATAAATAGTTTTCATTCCAAGCTCTTTAATTACTTTATTTACTTCTTTAAAGTAAGGAAATAAAAGTACATTCATGGGGGACTAGTTCTCGTTAGGTATAATTTGGGGAAGCGAGAAATTTGGGTAGGAGATTTTTACATGGGTAATTAAAAAGCTAGAAACCTTTTTCCATTGAATGGAGAGAAAGACAAGATTTTGCATTTGCTAAAGAATGTAATTTGCTTTGAGTAAATTTGACCGTTGAATCTCCGTACCAAAATACGGCAAGGGCCAGTTATCATTTCCACGCAACGCTTATAATTGAATTTGAATGCTAAATTTGGTGTAACAAATTCAAATCGAACATTTTCCATCAGCAACTATCTGCTGTATTTATCACTTTTTAGATTAGTAATTCTGGAAAGTTGGAGACGTAGAAGAAGCATAGATTTAAGGGTGTTACAGACGTAGACAGGTTTAGGTAGCGTTTTGTCGATTATCTTAGTGAAGGAAAGTCGGCTAAAATTTCCTCTATTGGGTGTCTTCATCCAGTTCAGTATAGCGGAATCTATAAATGTGGTAAGGAGCAGCGGAAACTTTTAATTTTTTCCTACTCTCTGAAAAGGGCTGAATTGAAACTCTTTTTAAACAAAAGAACTAGGCAGCGACTAAAATATCAACTTCAGCTGGTCGGCAGTCTTCAAAGTGGCTATCTGCAAGTGGATCTATTCAATACAAACAACACGAGTATTTTGAACAAACCGTTCAGTACACATTTTTTAGGTAAATTCAGCAGTTTTGTTCCGTAATTTCAATTATTTTTCTTTTTGAATATTAATTTATGGCCGAGCAATAAAATTGTATGCTACAACTGCAGACTCAACTAACCTTAAAAAACCTTGGTTCTACAACTTTTTTTTTGCTTCAGCTTACCAATCCATTATCGATTTGACAAACAGTTTTCTCTTCCACTCTAACCTTCCCAATTTTTAGAACAAAATGAAGAGCACAGTCTGGCTGTTCGTATAAATACAAAGGACAACACATTATCGTATCGACTCGAGTCCACCAGTGATCACGTCTGTGAGATCACTGAAAAAATCGATATGCAAGGAGCAGAACTCGTTCCGACATTAGGCGGTGGAGGTTAGCAAACTTCACTTGGTAATCGACAATCGATTAAATATCTCTCTCACAGGAAACTCGATGATCGGTTGCGTTACGCTAGTCACTGTACAGGTGGGGGCAGTGAGCCCTCCCTATGAAGTCATACCCATCTCATGGAATGAAATTGGAGAATGTCGAAATGATGACGATTGCGCGCATAGAGATTGCAATAAGGTAGGTTAATCGATACATCGATTTCTATCATTTCATTAAAAGTCTTTGTGGAAAATCCGGATTTCTTTAGGGAACTTGTCTACAATTAGAAGTGGCGACTTGTGACTGCTATGGGACTCAGAAGACTGGCCCTAATTGTCGATATCGTGAGTTTTGGTATAAATCGCACAAAACCGTATTTTCACCCTTTTTTCTTTTTAACCGTAAGCCCCGCCCATAGCATTTCAGAACTCTGAAGTCTTTCAATATTACATTTCAGTCGACTTCTTTGCTGTTTTAGAAAATTACAGTAATACCACTGCAACTGTAGCTTCCTCTGCATAAATCGATATATTGATTGTTCAGCTGCTCGTTCCGTTTTCATCCTCAATAATGACGATGAAAGCCAACCAAGTAATATACGTTATACACCTTGGAGTGTAGATCAGATGATCACTAGGATCACCATTGATTTTAAGGTTAGTTTATTTTAATATTCGGGGCACACTGTGAGACTTTGTGGGTTACGATGAGGGTACGGTAGTCAGAAAACTGAAATCCGCAGAAGTTTTTTACAAGTAATTTTATCAGCTTGTTTCCAGCCAACCCATATTTACAGTTTGCCGAACTAGACAACAAACAAGGAGTACTGTTGCATTCTGTGTTGGATGATGGATCGGTAGTAAAACTCTACGTAGTGGAAAGAAATGGAAATTTGTTATTTGGAAGCCTTGGACACGTAAATTTTACGCTAGATAGTACCGTTGAGTAAGTACATTATGATCATTCTTTATTGATTACTTATATTACTACTTTACTTAGGTATCATTCAATTTTTATTGGTATACACCGTGCATCACGTTTTATTGACCTGACTGTAGATGGAAAGACACAGGTAATTTTCTGATAAAATCATTTGAAAACTGGTCCTCAAGTTCACCCTATGAAGACAAGTTTTCGTTCTTAGAGGGGAGAATTTTCGAGTGTTACAATGTGTTTTACT